CATCCCAGTCCATCCCAGTCCCTCCCAGTCCCTCCCAGTCCCATCCCAGTCCATCCCAGTCCATCCCAGTCCCTCCCAGTTTATCCCAGTCCATCCCAGTTTATCCCAGTCCCTCCCAGTTTATCCCAGTCCGTCCCAGTCCGTCAGGCTCCGTTCCAGAGGCGCCTCCCTGGCAGCCGCAGTTCCCGGATTTTCCCTCGGCTCCGGCTCCGGGCGGCTCCGTCCAGGTCCCCGACGCCGCATCCTGCGGGAATTCCGGGAATTTTCCGGGAATTCCGGGAATCCACGGGGGGGAGGGGGAGGCGGCGCCGATGACGTCATCGTTATCCTCCCAAAATTCCCGGAATTTCCCCAAAAATTCCCAGAATTTCCCCAAAAATTCTCATTTTTCCCCCCAAATTTTCCCCAAATTCCCAAAGTTTTTCCAGAAATTTTCATTTTCCCCCCAAAATTCCCAACATTTTTCCCCAAATTCCTGGCATTTTCCCAGAAATTCTCATTTTTTCCCCCAAATTTTTCCCAAAATTCCCGAAGTTTTTCCAGAAATTTTGGGTTTTTTCCTAAAATTCTCCTAAATTTTCCCCAAAATTTCTCCAAAATTCCCCAAATTTTCCTTAAAATTCCCAATATTTTCCCAGGAGGTTCTCATTTTTTCCCCAAAATTCCCAACATTTTTCAAGAAATTATGATTTTATCCCAGATTTTTTCCAAAATTCCCAATGTTTTTCCAATAATTCCTAGAATTTCCCAAAAACCCTGGAATTTCCCTCAGAATTCCCAAAATTTCCCCCAAAATTCCAAGAATTTCCATCAAAATCCCCTAAAAATTCCCAGAATTTCCCCCAAATTCCCAGAATTTTGTCCAAAATTCCTGGAATTTTCCTGGAATTCCCAGAATTTCCCCCAATGTCCTTAAAAATCCTGGAATTTCATACCAAATTCCCTTTATTTTCCCTCAAAATTCCAAAAAAATCCCCAAATTTCCCCCAAATCCCTGGAATTTCCCTCAGAATTCCCAGAATTTGCCCAAAATTCCCCAAATTTCCCTCAGAATTCCCCAAAAATTCCCAAATTTCCCCCAAAATTCCCCAAAAATTCACAGAAATTCCAAAAAAAATCCCCAAAAATTCCCCAAATTTCCCCCAAAATTCCCCAAAAATTCATTTAAAATTTCCCAAAATTCCCAGATTTTCCCCCAAATCCCTGGAATTTCCCTCAGAATTCCCAGAATTCGCCCAAAATTCCCCAAATTTCCCTCAAAATTCCCCAAAAATTCCCAAATTTCCCCCAAAATTCCCCAAAAATTCACGGAAATTCCAAAAAAATTCCCAGATTTCCCCCAAAATTCCCCAACAATTCCAAATTTCCCCCAAAATTCCCCAACCAAAAAAATTCCCAGATTTCCCCCAAAATTCCCCAACAATTCCAAATTTCCCCCAAAATTCCCCAAAAATTCCCCAGATTTCCCCCAAAATTCCCCAAAAATTCCTGGAAATTCCCCAGAATTCCCCGATTTTCCCCCAAATCCCAGAAATTTCCCTCAGAATTCCCAAAAAATTCCCAATTTCCCCCAAAAAATTCACGGAAATTCCCAAAAAATTCCCAGATTTTCCCCAAAATTCCCCAAAAATTCCAAATTTCCCCCAAAATTCCCCAAAAATTCATTTAAAATTCCCCAAAATTCCCAGATTTCCCCCAAATCCCTGGAATTTCCCTCAGAATTCCCAAAAAAATTTCCCCCAAAATTCCCCAAAAATTCATTTAAAATTCCCCAAAATTCCCAGATTTCCCCCAAATCCCTGGAATTTCCCTCAGAATTCCCAAAATTCCCCAAATTTCCCTCAAAATTCCCAAATTTCCCCCAAATCCCAGGAATTTCCCTCAGAATTCCCAGAATTCGCTCAAAATTCCCCAAATTTCCCTCAGAATTCCCCAAAAATTCCCAAATTTCCCCCAAAATTCCCCAAAAATTCACGGAAATTCCAAAAACATTCCCAGATTTCCCCCAAAATTCCCCAAAAATTCATTTAAAATTCCCCAAAATTCCCAGATTTCCCCCAAATCCCTGGAATTTCCCTCAGAATTCCCAAAAAATTCCCAATTTCCCCCCAAAAATTCATGGAAATTCCCCAAAATTCCCAAATTTCCCCCAAATCCCAGGAATTTCGCTCAGAATTCCCAGAATTCACCCAAAATTCCCCAAATTTCCCTCAATATTCCCAAAAATTCCCAATTTTTCCCCCAAATTTCCCCAAAAATTCATTTAAAATTCCCCCAAATTCCCAAATTTCCCCCAAATCCCAGGAATTTTGCTCAGAATTCGCCCAAAATTCCCTAAAAATTCATTTAAAATTCCCCCAAATTCCCCGATTTTCCCCCAAATCCCAGGAATTTCGCTCAGAATTCCCGGAATTCCGGTACCTGCCAGGTTCAGGAATTCCAAGCCCCGTTCCCGTTTTTCCAGCGCTTCCAGAATGTTCCGGAAGCTTCCGGATCCGAGCTCGGGATTGGCCGAGAGATCCAAAGATTCCAGGGAGGGACAAAGAGGGAGAGACCTGGGAAAAAAACCCCAAAATTCCCAAATTTTCCACCAAAAATTCCCAAATTTCCAAAAAAAATTCAAAATTTTCCCCCAAATTCCAAAAAATTCCCAAGTTTCCCCCAAATTCCCCAAAATTCCCAATTTTCCCCCCAAAATTCCCAAGTTTTCAAAAAAAATTCCCAATTTCCCCCAAATTCCCAAATTTTCCCTAAAAAATTCCCAAACTTTCCCTAAAAAATCCCCAAATTATTAAAAAAATCCCAAATTTCCCCCAAATTCCCCAAAATTCCCAATTTTTCCCCAGATTTCCCCAAAATTCCTCCAGAATTCCCAAATTTCCAAAAAAAATCCCAAATTTTCCCCCAAATTCCAAAAATTTCCCAAATTTCCCCCAAATTTTCCCCCAAATTCCCCAAAATTCCCCAAATTCCCCCAGATTTCCCAAAAATTCCCCCAAAATTCCCAATTTTCTCCCCTAAATTCCCAAATTTTCTCTCAAATTTCCCAAAAATTCCTCGAGAATTCCCAAATGTCTCCAAAAAATTCCCAGATTTTCCAAAAAAATTCCCAAATTTTCTCCCAAGTTCCAAAAAATTCCCGAATTTTCCCCGAAGTTCCCAAATTTTTTCCCAAATTTCCCCCAAAATTCCCAAATTTTCCCTAAAAAAATCCCAATTTTCCCCAAAATTCAAAAAAATTCCCAAATTTTCCCACAAATTTTCTCCCAAATTTTCCCTAAAAAATCCCCAAATTATTAAAAAATCCCAAATTTCCCCCAAATTCCCCAAAATTCCCCAAATTCCCCCAGATTTCCCAAAAATTCCCCCAAAATTCCCAATTTTCTCCCCTGCATTCCCGAATTTTCTCTCAAATTTCCCAAAAATTCCCCCAGAATTCCCAAATTTCTCCAAAAAATTCCCAGATTTTCAAAAAAAATTCACAAATTTTCTCCCAAGTTCCAAAAAATTCCCAAATTTTCCCCAAAGTTCCCAAATTTTCTCCCAAATTTTCCCCAAAATTCCCAATTTTTCCAAAAAAATTCCAAATTTTCCCAAAAAATTCCAAATTTTTACCCAAATTCCAAAAAATTCACAAATTTTCCCCAAAATTCCCAATTTTCTCCCTTAAATTCCCAAATTTTCTCTCAAATTTCCCAAAAATTCCTCCAGAATTCCCAAATTTCCCAAAAAAATCCCAGATTTTCCAAAAGAATTCCCAAATTTTCTCCCAAATTCCCAAATTTTCCCTAAAAAATCCCCAAATTTTACCTAAAAAAATTCCCAAATTATTAAAAAAATCCCAAATTTCCCCCAAATTCCCCCAAAATTCACAGAAATTCCAAAAAAAATCCCCCAAAATTCCCCAAATTTCCCCCAAAATTCCCCAAAAATTCATTTAAAATTTCCCAAAATTCCCAAATTTCCCCCAAATCCCCGGAATTTCCCTCAGAATTCCCAAAAAATTCCCAATTCCCCCCAAAATGTCATGGAATTTCCCCCAAATCCCTGGAATTTCCCTCAGAATTCGCCCAAAATTCCCTAAAAATTCATTTAAAATTCCCCAAAATTCCCCGATTTTCCCCCAAATCCCTGGAATTTCGCTCAGAATTCCCGGAATTCCGGTACCTGCCAGGTTCAGGAATTCCAA